GTCATTAAAGTCAGTTTGTGAGCCAAAAGGAAAAATCACATTCTGAAGATTAAAAAAATAGTTTCAGCCAGTGATGCTAACCACTCTCAATGGAAAGAAGCTAAAGCCTGTTTGAAAAGTCACTAAATGTTGCTTGATTCTCTAAGTTGCCAATTAGCATATTTGTGACACCATCTTGTGGTATTTACATTCAGCCTCCTGTCAGCCAGTTTCAGCCCTTTCACTATTTGCCTTTCTCCTACTCTCTGTAGTCACATACAGTGAGCCACACCTTCGTATAGCGTGTCCCCAAAAGGACGCGGCCCCTGAAGGGCACTGTTTTCTTAGTGATACAAGTAACCATGGCAGCGTGAATGGTGAAAAATGCTGGAACATTTCTCATAGAGAATGAATGGAGAGACATTGTGAAATCAACTAAAAACACACCCCTTTTTCGAGCTCTACCACTTCATCATACTTTAACACAGAAACATGGTTGAGACTTTTTCAGATTTTATAATGGGTGTGTATTGCACAGAATGTTGAGAGCTAGAGTGGATGACATCACACGCCATCCCCAAAAATATTCCTGAAAAAAAATCTGACATTTAAATCCAACAATTTCCAACCTCCATAGTTAATTTATAAAAACGTAGAGAAATTTGTCACCCTGTGTTGGTCTCATTGTGATATTCTTTACGGATGTCCAAAGCTTTCATTGATGCCCATTTCAACTCAAAACAGAGATGAGAGGTGGTTTTTAAACTGCGATAAAACCTCAACTGTGAAAAGTAGCTACACATATAATATATCATTGTCTTCACTGAAGTCTTGGGACACTGGTAGTGATGGTGGGATTTGATTTTCGATGAAAGGTTCCTTCTTAAAACCTATTGTCTGCCTAGGGTTAAAGAGGTGATTGTGTGTACATTTTTCCCTCCTCCTTCTGGTGGCCACAGTCGCCATAGCAACCAGTGTCTCAGCAGGTGCTACTGACAGTTTCTGGGCATAAATGGACAAAACTGATTCTGACTGGCTAATTAGACTCATTAACTCTTAGCCTTTTATCTCAAGTAGGAGAGCAACTGTAAGGTAAATCAACACAGTGTTTGTGCATGTGTGTGTGTTTTATTGTGTGGCTGTTTGTGTGTGTGCACACTGGTTTGAAACCATTATTATAAGGTAATTTTACTCATTTAAAAACATAGTAATAAGTGCCCATGGTTCAGAACGTCAACATGATGGGCGTTGCAGCCCATGTGATTTCATCAAAGATGGCCTCCAGTTAACTGACAAAACAGGCAGATTAATTGATACTGAAAATAACCAGTTACCTCAGAATCACTGATTATGATTTGTAACTGGTGAAGATAGAACTAATTTTAACTACTTTAAATCTATGATGCAAAGATGTTATAAAATCTTAATCTGTGAAGTAACTAGTCACTATAGCTGTCAGATAAATGTAGGGTAATACAAATTTAAAAAGTAAATAAGTAAATTATAAAAATAAGTAATATAATAATATAAAAAGTAAATTTTTACCTCTTAAATGTAATGGATTAGTACTTAATAAATGTATTTCATTGCTTTCCCCCACTGGTTGATTTTCCAGTTCTCTTAAGTAGTAATTTGTTTGAAAAGCTCAGAGTTAGTAGAACAAATTAGGAGACAATCTTTGTTGAAGTGACACACACATCGTCTCCGAGGTACATGTGAATGGCACTGTGCTTGAGCACTGTAGATTTGAGCAGGTTTGACACACGAGTGCTCCAGCTGCAAAGGAGAGAAAAATAGTGAAAGAATGTCACATCAAATGTGTGAGGTGTTTAGGGTTACATAGTTTCGGTGGTTTATAAAGGCTCAAAAATCTTTAACTGTTGTTCCAAAAGAGTTTAAGATATAATGGTTTTAATGGCAACTGTCTAATGTACACTGCTTGACTCTTAAATATTATTTATTATTTACTTTTATTATCATTGTTCTTTATCTATTTTGACTATTTCTTGTACTACTGAACTGTAGCGTGAGAATTTTCCCTCTGGGATCTATAAAGTCTCAGATCATATTTTCAAAGATCTGAAATTAACTCTGATTAATTAAAACAAATAATCTGCTTTTATTTGGTTTCTATTCCTTTATAAAAAATTGGTTCTAGTAAGATTTGGAATTTGTTAAATTAGGTGGTGTAATACCTGCAGATAATCTAATGTAAGAATAGGTGGTGTTACCTGTGCTGGAGAGCGCCCAGATGAGAGTCAGAGAGAGGATCAGCTTCATCGTGATGAACAGGTGCGTACCGCAGATCAGTTTCCCCAGGTGGTGACACTACACCTGATCAGCTACACCTTATATACTCCACAGGTGGAGTACATTTACAACAGCTGCATGAAGCCCTCAGTGATTGGCTATTTCTCCAGTTTTATAGAACAATCATTCAGACTGTTTTGTTAGGTGGAAAAAATATGAATACAGTAAACTCATGTTTAACTTACGTTTACACAAGAAAACAACAGTTCATTCAACAGTCCTGTAACGCAGTAGGGGATGCACACACGTGCAGTGACCAACTTGGTCCTTACTACCATGAAAAGCTAATCCACAGGAGACGGTTCACTGGAATATTATGTGGCAGCATTGTGTCCCACCTGCGTTGTGGTAGGAGTGGCCCTCACAGAGCACCTGTTACCCCTTTTCCACCAAGATGAACCTAGTGCAAGTTCTGGGCTGGTGCTAGAGCTGCTTTGTAATTAGTTCAACTTGCCAACCTTCTTAGAACCAGTTTGCTTTTCCACAGTCTAGAGAGCCATAATAGTGCCACGTTATGACATCATTGTCTTGTAGGACTTGATAACCCCGTCCCAGCCCCATGACGTTGGCAGTTCCTCGTTCTGGAACCGGTTTTCGTGGCTGAGGGCCAGTTGTTTGACTGTCCAAACAAGAAAAACTGGTTCCAACTTTGGCACTGGCTCCGAATCAGTGCCAAACCAGGAGTGATAAGGTTATAAGGAATTGTGGTGAAAGACCTTAGGTGGAGCTCTAGAGTCCTGTTGGTCAAGAAGTTCATGCACTTCATTCATAATTTAGGATTTACTCTCGTTGAAATGGGGCACCAGTGCTCTGGGAGGACAACAATGAATTACTTCATTGACAAATGTATCAATCTCATATCAGAAGCCATGACTTCTTGATTCAATGGATCTCCAGTCTCTACGTCAAAAGAACACAACAGGACAACAGCTGGGTGTAAATAAAGGAGTTTATTAACTAAACTACTATCTGCAGAGTAAATGCAAGGTGTAATAATCATAAAGATGGAAATAATAATGAAATGAGCAGTGTGATGAGTTGGCAATGGTGGGAGAGAATATGTTATGGCTTTACACTATGGCTATACAGCTAATGATACTACATCTACAAATTAGGTTTGATGATTAAATATTACTTAATATTGATTATAATATATCTTCTAGCACCTTCTACCTTTCTTCGGCATCTAGCAAGTTTCTTAGCGTTTCTGAGCAGTGTGTGAATTGATCACAACTGTTTTATCTCTGGGCTTATCACCTGTGTTTCCACTTGGAGAAGAGAGTCATTTTCCACTGAACTTTTGAATAGTTTATTTCTATAATTTACTTATAAACTCGCACATCCGTCTTCCACCATGACCACAAACATTAAATGAAATAACATATAAAGCTAATGGCACTAATAATGACAGACAGGAGTAATACGAGTGTTGATTTCATATTACATCCTTCAAACCTGGAATTAATCATAATACAAGTGGTTAACTGATCAAACAACAATATAAACATTTCCCAAAGCTAATAGTCTATAAATGTGGATTACACAGCAGTTCTTTGACTGTAATAATAATAATATGGACATGCTGGATGTCATGTAGTGTGTGTTACCTCGTGTGAAGGATGCTGACAGTATATGGTCACATGAAGGACATTGTCTTAAAGTCTACATGTTACATTTCAAACATTCTATGGGATAGAAGTTTGGGATTGAACTATTACATAGAAACATCACAGGAGTTACAGAACAGTTAGATATTTAATTATATATTCTTCCTCAGATCTGTGTCTGTGGAGAGAGTTCTGCTGGTCACTACCCAGGGTTGGGATGTGGGTTGTAGTTTATGACTCTTATCTAGAGAGGGACAGAGGAAGGGAGGTTGGTGTGTGTGTGTGTGTGTGTGTGTGTGTGTGTGTGTGTGTGTGTGTGTGTGTGTTTTCATGCATGGTTCAGAGAGGTCAGGATTCACACCTTAGTGATGATCAGTCCTTTTGTTGTTACTTGTCCTATATAAGAAACAATCAAATATCAACAGACAGAGTCTTATTGTTACAAACTGGATATTGCCTATATTTTCCAGTTGCCTGGTGTCCATTGGTTAATCCTCTGGAGCTGACCCTTTGACCTTTGGTCTGGTTCTGCGTCTCTCTGACATGCTAAAATCATGGTCTGTTTGTGGAAGAGGGGTCCTTGGTCTCTGTTTCCTATCAATTTGATAGTTTGATGGTGGGAAGAGTAACAAAGTGTCAATTGTGGGTCCGTAACTCTGCATGTCCTTACAGTGAACTTCCTTAATGGCTTGTGACTGATGCCAGTCCAGGTATGTATGATACATAACAAATAAACTTTTACATTAACTGTTATTGTTCACTACAAAGCGTTTTATGTTATTTCATAAACTTCAAATACAGTGCTAAGAAAAAACCCCATAAGGGATATAGTAAAAACAGACGGTTTAACATGGCCACACACTGTTAGAAAAGTTATATAAAGATTATTGCTGCTGTCTGTGGTTTTGAGGATTATTTTTAATATATTCTTCATAAAATTTTAATTAAAATGTAATAATTGTCTTGCAGACCTCTGAAAAACCTCGTACTCTGTATTTCCCTCGAGGGTCAGCACTTTCAAGACGGATCACGAAACGTCAGTGACACAGATTGACGTGTCAACGTTCGCAACAGATGAAGTTGATGTGGAAAGTTTGCGTGGAATTCACCCCTGCAAGTAAATTTCATTAAAATGAACTGATTTAGCTGTTTTACATGTTGGTGCGACCAATCTTAAAGGTTTGAGTTTGCGCACTGGTCAAATGTCTGAACGGTGTTCCTTCAAAAATTGTATCTTTCTTAAACGATGTTTGACCTTTTCAAAAGCGTGGAAGTCGAATCTTTCTGATCAATCTAAGGTCTGATCGCACCAACGTTTCTGATGGTGAGATTTCATGGTAAATCAGCCACTGACTAATAATTTATCACATCAATCAATCAGACTTCACTTTCTATCTTCAGAGTAGGGGACCCCTTTTCCTCAATTTGCACAAGTTATTTCTGCAAGTTTACCTAATGTTGATGTAATCAAATGAAAGAGTATGTACAGATTTGTTCGGTAGTGGAATACCTATGTTTTGTTAAAAACACTACGGCTCTTGAAGGTTGGCCAGAAACTCCTCTATGTCCCTACACATTCGGCCCCTGCTCCTGTCTTTAATCTTCTGCAGAACTTTGATGCTGTTCTCCCGATAGAACGACTCTCGCGGTATCGCTGCTGCCTTCATGTGATATTGTATCGACCTTTGTCGCTCCTGTCGATCAAAGTTCAGAAATTTTGCATAGTTGTTGTAAAGCAGCTGTTTGTCTTCAGGTTCCAGATCACGCTTCAGCAGCTCCTGGTACATCTGCTCAGCTGTAGCCAGGCCGCGTTTTGACTTTGCGTAAATATTTGCGAGGTCTATTCTCTTAATAAAGGAAGAATGGGGGTAAAGAGAAATCACCTCCTCGTGGAGCCTGATGGCGCTGTCTATCATGCTTTGCTTTGGGCGACTCTCCCTGAAATAAATGATCTTCCATTTGTAGCAGAGTGCTAAACACCTCTTCAGATAACGTTTGTCTGGATGTTTTCCCTGAGCCTCCTCTGCCAAATCAACAGCCTCATCAATAGAGACGTAGTTTCTGTAAACTCTCAGTAATGCTTTCATACCACTGTAACTGCCAACAGGATTTCTCAGAACCTGTTTGGCCAGTTCACGCGCTTCATCTTCGACTATATCTCCTTTCTTAGCAAGTTGCTCAAGGTAGTAAACAGCGAGGTACAGGTTCTCTGGGTCCTGTTCCTTGGCGTTTCTCATTTTCTCCAGGATGTCAGCGTCTAGCCCTGTGCTGCTGTGCTTGAAACTAGTCACTAACCCTAACACATGGCTGGTCTGCCACTCCACCATGTCCGGCTGCATCCTGATGGCTCTCTGGAAGTAATCTGCAGCCAACAGCTTTTTGTCTTTGCCGAACTTCATGAGAGTCCAGGCTTTTTCAGCGTAGATCTCTGGATGGAGCTCGTCCTGCGATGGAGATGGATATTCTTTCATCAGGGCATCGACCTTTGAGAGGTAAGCCTGACTCTCTGCATGTTCTCCCTGGAGGTGGTGCAGCCAAGCCTGGTTCCCATAGTTCACCACCAACCAGGGACCCTCATCTGAGACGGTGTTTCTCATCTTGCGGAAGGCCTCTGCAGCCCTGCTGAAGAGACTCCTGGCATCATCGGTGAACCCCAGCTTGGACTGGATGAACCCCCGCAGGTTGTATATGTGACCCAGCCAACTGTTTCCCTCCAACGTGCCGATGTCCTCCACCTTGTCCTTGAGACGGAGAAGTTTGGACCTGCTTTGGTCCAGATCCCAGGTGAAGTGGCACTGCAGGGCCTCCAGTGTTGTTTCAGTCTGAGCAGTACTGATTGAGAATAATTTAAAAAACAACAAAAACACAGACGCATCATCAGTAGGTTAATATAGGAGCGTTGAATAAGCAGTAAGGAAGGAAGAAAAGGAAAGAAATGGAGCAAGGTAAAGTAGAGAGAAAGGAAGACCGGAAGGATGAAAGGAATAATAGGAAAACACGACAAAAGAAGTAACAAAAAGAAAAGGAGACAAGGAGGAAGAAACAAAGTAGCAAATCTTTGAGTGGTAAAAAAAAAAGTTCAGAAAAATTTATGGATTAGATAAAAACAAACTACATGGATTTATTTAGAAGTAATTATTGAACAGAAAACAATCAAGTATATGAATAATAGTAACTGATAATAAAAACCAGGAATCACAATGTTAATGTTCTGCTGCTGTAAAATAAATAAAACACTGAATAAATCAACATGTAATATAACATGAGGGTTCGTTATGTGGTGGCTTGGATCACTCTTGATAAAAGAAACAACTGGGTGGAGACCCTTTTACCCTTTTAAGCAGCATTTTTTATCTGCATCACAACCACAAGACTTCCTGTTTCTAAGTCACGTGTCGCTGAAGAAACAAATCAGAGGCTAGGAGGACTTAGACTGAGGTAAAAAAAAGAAAGAAAGAAGAAAACTACAAAGGTGGATTCAGGAGGGTATTATTAGCCTACTGTTTTTTTAAAGATGCAAATATTTAAACTTGTGAATATGTAAATAATAACTGTGTAAACACACATTATAAATAGTTAACTGTGTGAACATAAATGTACAAAAAGTAAACTGTATAAACACTAAATGTAATATTATAATAGTGATAATAAAAATGTTACAACTTAAAGTGTCCCCGTGAAACACAGGCGCAAACTTAGTTCCTAGTGCCATGCATAGAACCAATACAAAAAGAAATAATATCGCATATCATAAATAACTCATATAAGTATTTAAAAATTTTAAAATAAACAAACATATCAAATGACAACAGATATTTTATGGCAGTTACGATAATATATATTTTGAGTGAATTAACTCAAATATAGAATATGAATTAACATCTAAACCTTACAGTTATATACTCACCTCATCATCAGCTGTTCCCTCGCCTCTGTAGTTAATATCAGCTCCACTGATTTTTGCTCTAAATGCTTCTCCAGCTGCTGCTCTGCTGCAGATGTGTTGTTGTTGAGCTCAGGTCTTCGAATGTTCTAACTGAAGGCGAGACTTTTACAGGCGGGGCGTTCGCGTACCAAGTCGAAGGAGACGCGAACACACGCGGGTTCGCTTTAGCGCAGCGCGAACTGAGGCGAAGACTCGTAAAGCCGAAGGACGTCCACTTAACGGAAGAGCAGAGACACAAGAGTTCATGTGAGAGAAACACTGCAGAAAAAGTCGAGTTCCGGGTATGTTTTGTGGCCGGAGAGCAGATTCGCGCGAATAAAGCGAAGCGAAAATTCGTCTTTCTTCTGTTGAGCGACGCCGTCACTCTCGTTTCCAAGGAATAGAAACCTAAGGCCAAAAACTGACCGGTTCACCGAGAGGAAACCAGAGTCCTGACTCACCTGTTACTGCCCTGAAAATCTGACAGTTTGTTTCAACACTAACGACGTCACACTGAAACACTGAAACACATTTATGGCTGCAGTTCTCTATCAAAAGAAAACATTAGCGTGTCCCCATATCTATATGCACATACATTAAATTTTCATACATGAAATATTTGGAAAAATGAAGTAAAATTATACATGTATATATGTCTGAAAATGATATATCAAATCTATTGAAAATTGGAAGTTTCATATATGTCTAGCATAGAAATATGTTTGAATCTTTAAAATGAATGAAGAAAGACTAATATGTTTTACACATCTATATTAAAAGTTGAAAAGCATTTTGTTTTAATAAATAAATAAAATTTATACCGTTAACAAATAGGTTATATAAAATTCATCATACAGACATTTTCAGTATATTTACAAATTGGGTATTTCCTATTCCTATTTCCCTGGTATGTTATAAACTTACAGTATATCTTCATATATCCAGATGTATATATGTGATAATTATAGGTGACATACAGTATATGGCAACATCATTCTTGATATGGGGACATATACCGTATATCATATATTACATGTGCATTATTTTAAACACACATATATATGTATTTTGTGCATTGCCACATAATAACATGTTTTTTATGTACACTTATATTAGTATTCCTTACAACAGTATTGTTTTTTGCTGAGAAGTCATATAGGCTATTTGTGTGGACTTGGTTTTGCTTTTTTTATTCACACACATGAAACATTACAAATACATTGTATATATATATATATGTATATAGTTTTTTTTTTAAAGGAGAGAACGTACAGGTGAGATATGTCACGGGTTTGAGGTAAGTAGGACCCAAATGCAGCCAACGCTTGGGAGAACGGTGCGCAGAGGTTTATTTAACAGAAGAACTTACAAAACAAGCAGGGAACCATAGGCAACAGGCAAACATGAGCAGGTAACGTGAACAGACCAAAAACAAACCAGACATGAACAGACTACGTGAACAGATTGAGGATTAAGCAGACATGAACAGATCGAGGACATACCCAGATAACAACAGACGAACCGACACAGACAAAGGGGAGCATAAAGACTATATAGACAAGGGAGGCAAGGGTGATTGAACACAGGTGAAACACATTAGGGCGGGGCAGATAATTACCACACAGAAACAGGACCAAGACAGGAAGCAAAAACACTGACACACAAGGTACGAAATTACAAAATAAAACAGGAAGTGCACGGGGAAACAGAGCACAAGACAGTGAAGACTAACTAGACACTAGAAACATTCAAACCAGAAATACTCAAAACAGAAAACTAAATCATCAAAAAAGTCCAAAAAACCAAAACCCTGGAGCCTCCAGGCTGAGACCATGACAAGATAAGAAACCCATCGAGAGCTTGTGTTAAACCTCAACGTAAAAATAAAAATAAAAATAACATCATACAAACTGAGAAAGGAGGAAAGAAAGACAGGAAGACAGATAGAAAGAAAAAAGAAAGCAGAAAGAAAAAAGAGAAACAAAAACAACACTAAATATACAGTGGAGGGGATACAAATATTTAAATGAATCTATCAGCCAGAGACACAATGAAAAAGAAAAATACATAAACCAAATTGCTGTTATTTTACCCTAATTCCCATCTGACAATTCCCCTTGTTTGTATGATGGAAAGCGAGATGCTGATAATTTGGTTGTCTTGCTGGGTAAGAATGTATGTAGGAATTATTACAGAAATATTGGTGAAAACATTTTGGTAAATGTTTGTTCTGTAATATCACGTTACAGATGAAAATACATGTTTGTAGGATGTTTATATCAAAAAGGATTAATACATTTTAAATTTATAAAAAAGTGAAAACAGATGGCTCCTTTGACTTTGCAAATATGGCAAGTCTGACAATTTTTTTTCTGGATTATGTGGATTTTATGGAATAAGAAATGGCCCATACAGTATTGCAGTAGCTAAGGTGTGGACTTCTTCACGCAGTAACTTGTTCATATCAGGAGAGGGCGCTGTGGGACCAGGCAGTCACTGCTGTAAGAACACAGCCACTGACAGTGTAACTGCTGAAATATCAGAGTACAAAAAGGGTCAGCAGAGGAGTTAGTTATTATTATTGTTAACTGTTTAGTTATTAATATGAGGATAGTTTTTGCTCTTACATTGAATTTACAACAAGTTTCAAGTATAGAAAATGTCACAGCATTCAGTCCACTTGAACACTCAGGGGTCAGAGAGAAAGCCCATGCAACGAGCAGTACCATCAGGAGAACTGGGACATTTCCTGGTGGTCCGAGGGGCATTTTGCTTTTGTCCTGCACCGTGTATCACCTCACCTGTGTTTAACACTACCTCACTGAAGTCACCCTAGTTCAGAGAGAGAGAGAGAGAGAGAGAGAGACAGAGAGAGAGAGCCCTGGGAAATTACTGCCCTTCGCCCAATGTTCTTTTTGACATAATATAAATATATATAAATATAAATATTTAAATATTTCTGCTTTGACTATATGGTGCACATGTAGCCTCCGTTTTGTCCTCTAATTGCAAAAAGGCGTGTGTGTGTGTGTGTGTGTGTGTGTGTGGGGGGGGGGGTAGTAAATTAATCTTACTGCATGAGCTGCAGACAGAAGTCATATGAGTGCTTGTAACATGAATGGCAATTGTGTTCTACAGTGTCTTTTTATGTTGCTTTTACGGCTTCATGTTGAGTGACAGGTACTTTACACATTGGACAGTTTTGAATGGAGATTCTGTTTCAGCACTTCACTGTGTTCTTTAAATGTTGGATGAAGATTTTATTATTTGTGACATAAACTGCTGTAAACAGGAAGAGGGCAGGCTGAGCGTTGTGTTTGTGGAAAGAAAGTCACACTGTGGTTTTTACTAAGAAAAACTGACAACACATGTAACTCTATTTTACTCTCTGGAAAATCTCCACACTCAGGTGCTTCAAACCCTCATGATCTTCCAGCTGAACCCTAATGAGATATGTATTTAATAAAAATGATGTTATCTGCTATTACAAAGTTTCTGCTTTGAGATGGCCTTCAGTTTGCTTCCTTGTAATATGTTCATTTACTAAGAAGAACCTTGACCTAACTTAATGTTTATATAGTTTCCTTAGTCTGTACCAAAACCCATTTAAAAATGACACATTTTGAAAATGATTTAAATCATCAATGTCCATAATTTCTTCTTTCCTAATCAGATCAAATGCATCGTATAATTAATATCAGAAACATGTGACGCTGTTTACCCAAGAAAAATGGATTTCATGGAGAAGCTCGAGGACAAATTTCAACTTTGACAAAAAGATGAGTTTAATAGATTATAATCTTTATCTTAATATCATTCGATTGTTATAGTTTCAACATATGATCAGTTCTACAGGATACCTTTGACCGTTATCTTGGCAAAGGTCTGTAAAAGTGAATTTCTTTACATTTCTTTATACAGTTTTACTAGGTAATGGTGGCACGTCTGTTCGCTCACAACCTGGATTCTTCTATAGATAAACTGTTTCTCAGTAAATAAAATACATCATGTCCTATCGATCTCCATGTTGCCATGTTTGAATTGGTCACTCTTTATTAGTTTGAAAAAAGGAAATGCATGAATATGCAAAGTGAAGTATTGCTCTGTTTGTAACCAGGAAGCACCTATGTGTTTTTTACACTTGCTTTTTACAAAAAAATATGTTGGTTGTGTGGTTGAGAAAGGAAGTACTCACGAATTTAAACTGAAAACAGAAGTGAATCACAAGTTCACCACGTTGGCACCTATAAATGTAATGCTATAAAACAAGAAATACAACAAAACAATTACAGGGAATGGTCAAAAGTCAAATGATCACAGTGCTGCTACTTTTGTACTGAGTAATAAGAAGCTGATGATTGATCCCAGGGGGGAATTGATTTGCGTCGAGGCACAAACATGATAAGCAGTCAAAAGTAAAAACAGTGGGTAATCTATGACATAATCTGCACATGGCAGACTCCCACAATAGATGCAAATTCCTTTGTCACAGTGGAAACAATATGCTGAACTTCAAACTCAAAACGATGAATTTACTTTGAAGGTTTTTGTGCAATTTCTAAAGATTAGGACGATCCTTTTGAAATATGTCACAATTACCATTAAGTGCAATGACTTTGAAGACATTTTTCATTTTGATGAGCTGCTGTTGACTTTCTGACTGTGACTAAATATAACATACAACGTTTTTATGTGTAAAAGCACATTTCACTGTCAACATTTGAATTAGGCCACTGATACAGACTAAGCAGCAATCTGCCAGCACCAAGAGTCAGTCTCCATAGACTCCCATGTTAAAATGTCCAACTTTACAACAGAAATAAACATGTTTACAGCCTGGTACAAAAACACTTTTGGTCTCTAAAGCTAATTTACTCCTTCATAACACCTGTTTAAATAATTGACCTGTTTACATTTTATTAAAGCTTAAAGTAATGGAGAATGGAGGGCATGGCCACTTTGAGTGACAGGTGGGTGTGGCCACAGTCCGCTAACCGTCTGCTTGGCATCACCTCAGCTAATGTGAGTCACTAAACTGCTCCTCTTTTTGGAGGTGAGTGTAATCCTAGTATTTTATTTATGTTAACTCTGACTA